GTAAGAGTTATCTAAATCTATTATTCTGAAAATCAAGATAAGCGAGCTTTTCCCCTTCTGCTCTGAGAGGTTTCTGTCCTCCCTGAGCTCGCCTTAATCTGTTAAACCCTTATCTCCTGCAACGTATCAAACAACTTGGAAAAACCCACTTTCACACGTACCTAATAAAACTTTACTTTTAAACAGGAAATCTTCACCTCGGAAGAGTTATCTAAATCTATTATTCTGAAAATCAAGATAAGCGAGCTTTTCCCCTTCTGCTCTGAGAGGTTTCTGTCCTCCCTGAGCTCGCCTTAATCTGTTAAACCCTTATCTCCTGCAACGTATCAAACAACTTGGAAAAACCCACTTTCACACGTACCTAATAAAACTTTACTTTTAAACAGGAAATCTTCACCTCGGAAGCTTGCTTATATTGAGCAATTAGAATGATTACTGGACTTTTGAAATTACAGTAAAAATGTAATGGGTAAATACTCCCACCACCAATTAATATATTAATAATTTGAAAGTCAGCAGAAGTCCAACCAAAACACACATGACAAACTGATCATTTATTAGCATAATAAAACCTGTTAGGCAGATTGTAAGAATGGTTCAAAAATAAGCTGACCCATAATGTTCACACATGGTAACATCAATTTGAGTTGTTGTCTTTTGAGGAGCATTTATGATGACGTTTGATTCTGACAATCTGGCCTAGCATCTTTGTTGCTGTGACAGGTTGAATCTCAGAAGTCCCCTTGGGGTTATCCCCTGGTCTGCTGATCATGCCAGTGATGCCTGCGTTCCTGCTCTCTGGGGCTTCCCACCATCCTGTCGGGCTGGGCCAGATCCTTTGGTCTCCCCCAACCAAAGTGCAGAATTGGAATAATTCCCCCCTTGCAGAGCAGCACAGACACTGAACCAGTTGCGTTTTGGGAGGGCTCAGTTATAAGGACTCAGCACCTAGGAAAACAGCCCTCAAAAAGGACCAAAACCCTAAACAAATCCATCTTACTGTATGTAAAAGACTTTCACAATGAAAGCTCATAAGGTCTGCCCACTTCACCAATGAGAGAGAGACACACAGTGGTTGCTCTTTCCCAAGTGACAGTTCTTTACACTGGGCTTGATACTTAATAATCAAGTGTTTTTATAAGAATAGGATTTAAGTAGTTGCAAGACTAGAGGCTTCACTCTAAAGGATGTTGTCCCTTTTTCCCCACAGTGTCTTGCTTTGACACCATTGTTGTTCTTTTCTGGTTGCATACTCTGATCCTTTCTTTTTATTGTACGATTCCCTTTCCTCCTCTCTCTTCCCCGCCTCCTCTCCCCCCATGCTCATTGTCCTCAGGAATATGTAAGCATAAGAAATTCAGAATATTTCTGTTGTGTAACCCACATGCCATTTGCACAGCAGCATTTGATCTGTTTAGAGGCTGAGGGGGGCGGCAGTTGGGTAACTAATGAATCTGGATTGGTACTCTCTTCATATTCTGTATATTTATACCTGCCTCTAGATTTTCCACTACATGCATCTGAGGAAGTGGGTCTCTGCCCACGAAAGCGGATGCTCCTATAAATCTGTTAGTTTAAGGTGCTACAGGACTTCTCGTTGTTTATGCAGATTCAGACTAACATGGCTATCGTTGTGATACTAATGGATTTTTGAGAGTTCAGTCAATCCAATTTCTGGGAAATGCTTTAAAACAGAGTTTTTGGACCAACCAGATGGTGGGATGAGCATGATGAGATGCATGGTTTTCCTGGAGTCCTAGGCTGGGTCCCCGCACATGTGATGAGTTGGCCAGTCCTTTGCATCCAGTGGCACAGTCCCTGTGTTCCCCATTGCACAAGCTTCTAATACAGTATGAGCTATTGTCACCCTTATAAAGCTTGGCAGCCAAATTTAGGAGTGTTTTCCCCAATTCTTTCTTTTGAAAAGCAGCTTTTAACTACAACTTTTGACAGGTTCATGCATTCAGCATATTTCATTTTAAACAGTTTTTAACAAAAACAATTAAACAGAATTGTTTACTTATAAAGACTGTCTCCTCTGTCTTGCTTGCTTGCCTGAAGTTCTCATTGCACACTATAAGAAGGATACTCTTGCTAACTGGTGTTTGCAAACCCAGTAAGAGAACTAAAATGGCTGCTAGTTTGAAGATTCTGCTTGCTCAGTCTCTTGTCATCTGAGTTTGTGGGTACAATTAGGGCTTCTCTAAACACAGAGGTTGCACTGGTTTAACCAAAATCAGCTTAGAAACTGGTTTAGTTACCACAGTGCAATCCACTGTAAAATTAGACAGTTTTAAACATGTATCTGTAAATATACAGGCAGTCCCCGAGTTACGCGGATCCGACTTATGTCGGATCCGCAGTTACGAACGGGGATTTTCTCACCCCGGAGGACTGGAGCGGCGGGATGCCTGGTCCCACCGCCCGCCTCCTCCGGGGCGAGAAAAGCTGCTCCCCGTCTCCCTGGTCTGCTGGGGGAGCTAGCAGACCAGGGAGACGCGGAGCAAAGCCACGGAGGACCCGGGACCGGACCCGCGGCGCTGATCTGGAAGCGCCGCGGTCCGGCCCGGGTCCTCCGCAGCTTTGCTCTGCATCTCCCTGGTCTGCTGGGGGGGGGGCGCAGCCAGTGC